CACACACAAGGGGACACCATATCAACTTAATAAATTGTTTATGCACACTGTTTGTTTTTGAAAAGAAGTACAATGAATATAATAAAATATTTATGTATATACAATTTACTTAGCACTATAAGTTATTTACATTGCATGGGCGTCTCACAACGTCAATACAAAGTTTTTCAATGGGCATTTTGGGTGCCTGTGTTAATATGCCATCCATAATTATTTTGTTGTTGTAACTTAAAATTGGCTTAATTTTTAATGGAGGCATTATTGCCTTCCCTTCTCCATGCAAGTTAAGAGTATACCACCAATACTCTGGGAGTTGCAAGCGGCACATGTCCTCAATGGTATACAACCAAAACCCTTTATGGTTTGACTCTTTACCTTTTCTATAGGTGATATAGCGCCAAATGTCTAAGTCTATGGGGACATATGTGGGTGCAGTAGACTTTGATCGTAGCAGTGAAAGGATTCCCAAATAAAACTGTCTGCTTGCTGTTTCCAACCTTTCACTGCTAGGCACTGGAGGCTTTTCATAACTTCTAAAGAATAAAAAAATTCATTCAGTACTGGGATAACAGTTGAAGCCTAGGGAAGTTTACCTAGGGCTAGGGCCTAAATATGCCTATGAAGTTAGCTTACCATCTAGGAATGGCTACAATGTAGACTTCTACAGTTCTGTTTGACACAACATGTTATAGGGTATAGAAAATAGCCATCATTAAGCATCTCTATTCTCTTGCATTATGTTTTAAAGCTTTAGAACAAAAAACTGTGGCCAAGCTATAATAAATATCGTTTTTTTATTTTCGTACCTCAATAACTCTTCACTAAGATGACTTGAAGGTTCCCACGTACAGCTACTCAAAGGCCAACCACTCCATTTGATCAGATACTCATTGTCCTTTGAAAATTTATTAAGAACACTTAACACAAATTCTTTAAATTGAAAATGATACCACAAGATGTTGAATGTTAACTTCGCGCAAATTTTAACTTACATTTTTCGTTCTTCGTTTTGAAATTATTCTTTCAACAAGATATGATGTCGGAAGAGTCTTCCGCTTTCTTTTTGGCGCTGTGTTGTATAACACAACTGAAGAAATATCGTTCAATTGCTTGTAATCGACATCACTTCTTTTTCTTGTCGCCATATCGAAACGAGCTCGCGGGAAATTTTCGGGCAGTTGCGGGCAATATTCATGGCAATAACTGCTGTACAGCATGTCCGACACATGACCGGTAAAGTTGGCGATGACATGAATGACAATACCCGAATAGTATTAACAGCTTGGATAGAAACACAATGTGTTTGGGTTCAGTCCTTACGTTGCCATCCATTGTCAGTGACCTGTCAAGACTATAAATATAATGCAATAAATATACTATGTAACAACAATTTCTTGAAAATACAGTATATACAGTATTGGAATACCAGGACTATACCACTTGGTTACATAAATGTAATATTCACTCACTCTGATACTTCTTTCAATTCATCACGTTTAAATGTGTCACATTCATCATCATTATCATGGGGTTCATACTCATCATCATAACCATCATAACTTTCCTCAGTTTCTTCATCATCACTCAGTTCATTCTCACTTTCACTTTCATGGTAAGTCTCATCCTGCATTTCATTGCTTTCATCCATTTGTTCAAATGATTGCTCAAGCTTGTTTACTGCAAAAATAATAAATACTTACATGTTACATTGAAACATCATAGTATTTCAAATTTTTGTGATGATGGTCGCCTCTATAGTTTGTTGTAAGTAGAGTGGTTTGTTCCAATATAATTACCACTTAGATTTTAATTACCTCTCCGTTTCAACCTTTTCAATTTATTTTTCTTCTCTTTTACATTTCCTTGCAGGCTTTTCCCTTGATTTTTCAACCTACGGTTGCTTTTCATCAGTTCCTGAAACCCATCACTCTCTTTCTCAGGAATACTTTGCACCTCCATTGTTACCTGAAACAACAGTTGCATATAATTATTTCTGAATACACAAGCTATCAAGGGCACTTTTTACACATATATTTGCTGAGTGTGTTCAATAATCACATATTTTAAACTATAAGTATAATATGATTTGTAAAAAGTATGTTATAAAGTAGAATTACTATTTTATATTAAAATGTTCCTACACTTACAAGCTCCTCTTCTATAGGACTTGCATCACCATTCTTAATCTCTTAGGGATCTTGTTTTTTCTTTTTCTGTTCTGTGCCTGTGGATAACCTTTTTCGCTTCAGCGTTGGTTCGATTAAATTATCTTGGCACAAATCGTCATGAATTTTTCTAATCACCTTTAGCATAAAAAGCAATACAATCAAAAGATTTCAAATATTATACTTGTTAAAATGTTCTTTGCCAGAAATACTAAGAGTATAAAAAAAAAGACAATTGCTCACCATCCGTCTGCTCCTGGCACTTGAGGCAGAGCTTTAATAAACGCAAATTTCGATTGTATCAGTCCTCAGCTTTTGATGGTTTGGTTTTGTTTGGCCAGGTAACATAAAAAATCTCCTCTCGAAGTCCTCAGGTTTGAAATGGTCAGAGCAAAGCATCGATGATTTTGAAGGTTTGAATATCCGTTTTGCTCTGACGAAATCGACCCAAATTTTTCTTCGCTTTTTGGCTTCAGGCCGGTCATCGTTGAAAAACATAATTGCCTTATGCCATCTTTAAGACCGTACAATTAGCAGCAATGCAACTAAAAACTATCTTTTTTAATAATATATTTTATAGACGCTTTGTATGTAGATGATATTGGATTTGCATATCGCAACTGCACAAGTACCTTGCGTGACGTCAGAAAATATACTTGTTCCATTCCCCCGCATGCATATTATTCTCTTGGAAGTGAGACAACTGAAATGACAATTTAGCCATTTTCAAACTGCCATAAAAATTGAACTAATACATAAAATTAAATTCTGTCTTCGCAAATACTCTAGAAATTATGCAAAGAAATGATATTGCTTGAAAAAAAATTGTGTCAGAGGCACTTTAATGCCCTTAGTTATTGATGACTACACAACTGTCCATACGGTGAGAAGACCAACTCAAACTAAATTTTCACAAGCCAACATCATGTTTACAATCATTGTAAAAGCATTCAAACAGCTACCTGCAGTTAAAAGACCAACAGACATAACTAACCTCCACTACCCAAAAGGAATAAATATCCCTGCCATTACAAAGATGATTACTTCACCCTGTGAGATGTCAAATTTAGCACACTCTTATGCATGAATTATGCCACATTGGATGACAGACAACTTTGTGAGCCCCGACATGGAATTACATCTGCAAAGATTAAGAATACATGAATATTGCAAAAGTAACTCAGCTAGGCAAATGAGGAAAATGGATAATGTGCACTAGGTTGACTTTAAAGATTGAACTTGAGCTAAAAGGGAAATAACCATTTGGGATCTCCCATGATGTAGCACTATCAACTAGTTTAAAATCATACTTAAAGGAGCTGTGTCACCTCGTGCGCATCTTTTCTGCGCATATAGAAACTTGAAAACTACAGCCTGTAGATATCAAGTTTCATATCCAAGATGGCGGCGCCATGTGTGGGAGCGCATGGCGGCAAACGCGACAATTCAGGAAGGAAACGAAAATATAGTGGTGCGATAAGTTCACAAAAAGGCTGGAATAGTGCGAACAAACGCATATGTTTATCATTAAAGATATTTGAAGCATGGAGAGATGCGAAAAGCGACGCAGGGTACGAAAAATGTAGCAATAGCGACTTTGCTGCTCATCTTCTGTCCTTGGAATTTCGCAGAAGGTAAAGTTGATTATTTGAAACAATTCGATTAAAAGTAAAGCATGGCTATTAGAAAGGCAATTTCATTTTTTAGGGAAAATATAAATCAGCAAGTTTTGGCAGTAAGGAAAGGACCGACAGGTAGAACGCAGCCATGTGACAGTGGCGCACGAGGAGATGACATTGGGGTTATGTCACATGTCACTAACGAGGGTAAGAAAAGGCTTTTTTTTCTCTACGGAGAATATTGATTTCCTTTCAAAAAAGTGCATGCTTTGCGTAACCATAGATATGGCCAGTGAGCCAAAATAAAACATTGAAATTGCATTTTGAGGTCCGACAACATCGACTCCGTTAAAAGCTGTGAGAGACATTGTTGTCCCTGTGGAGTCGCCGATTTTACCACCAATGGCCAGTGACTCAAGCTTTGGTGGACCAAGTATATCACTTGAAAGGTATAAACCTATTGAGTATACTGCTATTAATAATTTGACTTCTCAGTATCAATGAATATTACCTTTCATGTAACAAGCTGATAAGATTATTAAGAAGAAAATATTATTTATACTACATTAGTCATAATGTCACACCAAGAGATGAGGATAAGGGGAATACATCTATGTTTACTGATGATGAAGAAGAGTTTTCTGATGATAGCAGTTTGGAGGATATTAGGTATGGTCTTCTGGTAAATTCTTCCCAACAATTTTTATGTAAAAAGTCTACGATTTCATAAAACATTTTTGATTTTTCTTGTACAGATCACATGAAATTACACAGCTGGCCATTGAAGACATGAATGATGAAAGAACTATAGAGAAAGAAAGTGATTCAGAGTAAGAAATATAATGTTGTTCAGTTAGTTTGTTTAGTCATTTTTTATATCATGTTTCTTATGCTTTTATTGTCCCCTTCTTTATCAGTGAAGACAACATGTCTGATTTTGATGACAATGATTTCATCAATTTAGACCCTGAGTTGGAAGATGATGATGAGTCTGAAGAAAAAGTCTTGCCAGAAATATCTCACCTGCCACAAGAGATAAAACCCTCAACTATTGGCTATGGGCCCCATCGAAAACTGAGTAGGAGGGAGGAGTTGTATGCAATGCCTGAAGAGTACCACATGGTAATGGAAAAAAAAATTGTCTGCTCCCTGGATCTGCTTCTGTCAGTGTTTGAATCCAGATGCCAGATACCTGGGTGCATTGCTCAACCGCACATCAAGTATCACTTTGTTGGTGTTACAGTGATTGTCAATGCAGAGTGTCCTTTGGGACATAAATTTAGATTCACATCATCACATGTGGTTAATGACATTTTTGCTAATAATCTGCAAACAGCTGCCTCTATCCTGTTGTCTGGAAGTAATTATGCCAAAGTTGAAAGGATGGCAAGATTCCTTAATCTGGAGTTTCTTTCTAGCTCAACATACTACCGGTTCCAACGATTGTATCTGATTCCAGAGATAAATGAATGGTGGTCTTGGATGAGAGGAGAAATAATAGGCGAGTTTTCTGGAAAAGATGTAGTTGTTGGCGGTGACGGGCAATGTGACTCACCAGGCTTCAATGCCAAGAATATGTGCTATTTCATGATGGAAGTAGAGTCAAATTATATTCTTGATGTTGAAGTCTTGGATAAGAGACATGTTGGCTTAAAATCCACCAACATGGAAAAAATGGCAGTCAAGAGAAGCCTTGATCGTCTAAGGGATGAATTGAAAATCGTCGAACTGGTGACAGATGCTTCCACATCTGTTAAAGCATTACTTGGTATGTTAAAATATTTCCTTTTCATTTTTTTTAATGGCTGAAAGATGCATAATGATGATGATTTGCAACTTCATTAAATAGTAATCTTTTGTCTTAACATAAGTTATCACAACAAGCATTTTTAGAAGAAAGCTATTAGCTCTTCTCCAGGTTTTAAAACCTTTAGGTAAAAGAAAGTCACAAAGTGCTATAATAGTTAAATAAAAATCGATTTATGTTTTATCTTTCACAGAAGCTGAATATCAGGATATGATACATAGCTTGGATGTGTGGCACAAGTCCAAAAGCATTAAAAAATGCCTTGCCAAGGTTTGTATATCACTTTTGATGTGCACACTTAGCTTGCTGTTAGACTGACACAAATGTAACTGTGCTATTATAATTAGCAAAACTACTTTCAATTTGCATCTCTCTTCAGTTAGGAAATTCAAAAGCAATGGCCAAAATTAAAGACTGGTCACCCCACATAATCAGACATTTTTGGCACTGTTCAAGTAGATGTAGGGAGGATGAAGCAACCACTGACGAAGAGGCTTTAAAAGTTATGAAGGTATTTTTATTTTAATGCTGTGTAGGATTTTTTGCACATTGATACAGCTCAACAGAATATTCTTAACATATCCCAAATACTATCTTTAGGACAAATGGATCGGATTGTTGCATCACATCTGCAATGATCATCAATGGCTAGGTGGCCAATGTGACCATGAGGAGGGTCAGCATGATGAAACTCTCCCTTGGTTTGATCGACGAGACAAAGATTTTGCTGAACTGCAAAAAGTAATTTTGAACCCAGAATTACTTGCTTCTTTCAAGTATTATACCCGATTCAGGTAAGGAAGAAAAACTGGTTGAAATAAGCAATCTAGTTTGTGGTTATTTTCATTTATTTTTTATTTCATCTAATAGGCATACTGGTGGTATTGAGTGTGCTAATAGCCTTGGTTTAGTCTACACCCCAAAACGAACGCCCTTCAGGTAAGCCTTTTGTAAACAGGATGGTATACACCTTTAATACTTATCTTGAAATGCAAAGTTGTTTGTTAACTAGTTACACGATAGCCTTGAACTCTTCTTGTGTGGGTACAAATAATTCAAAGATTATTACACATTGCTATTTGATTTAGCTATAGAGCATACAAGGCAAGAAGGCAGCTCACTGCAATTGACTGGAATTTCCATATAAATCTTGCACAAGCAACAACAAAAGCTGGTGAAAATGTGGTTACTAGGAAATATAACCCAAGGACAAGGCAGTGGGATAACAAAGTTGTGAAAGTGACAAAGAGCTATGAATATGTGCCAGTGCTCATTTCGAAAATATTTAGAAGGAGAATTGGTGATAGTGGTGGCGTGACACAACTTGTTGCCCTGAATACAAGTGATCCAGCTTTAATAGCTCCAACAATTGCTCATGTCCCACCTCCTCCTACTAAAGAAATTGTTGAACGAAGGAGCAGATTTACATAGACATGTGTGCAAACAAGTGAACAGCCTGAACTCGCAACTAAATGTATTGACTGTACATAAATTTATGATATGACCATTTTGATATATATATATATATATATATATATATATATACTTAAAATAACAATAAATTACAGTACCAGGAGCAGTTGTATGGAGGTTAGATAGTGCTATTCACCAGATAGTGTTTTTTTATCAGTTATGAAAATAATATCCATGTAAGAATATTAAGGTTATAGCAACTCAGCAAATGGCAATTTTAGGGCAATTAAAAAAACACTATCTGGTGGATAGCACTATCTAGCCTTTGTACAACCAGCCCCTGGTGTGCTAGAAATATTCAGTTTCAAAAAAATACTTTTGAGTTCCCCATTTTTATTGAGAAACCCTTTATATTTCAAACTTCATTGTCCCCATTTAAAATTATCTGACTTAGTGTTCCCTAAATCCCATGTAAATTCCTGTGATTGATGGAAAACGTTCTCTAATTTTTAATACAACACATGAGGGGCATACTCGTCTGTTACCCCTGCCCAGGTGACCATGGCGTGCCAAAATAAATTGTCTATATGCCGCCTTTCGAAATGCTCTTGTGCTGTTATCTTCCCTGTCATTACGTATATCTCCCGTATTTCTTATACACAGCTCCAGCACATCAGGGTCGAGGCATAATTTTGTGAAGCGGGAAGAAAGTGTAATGCATTTTTTAATTTACAGCATTTGTTCTCAACCTCCTGTGGCATGGGTTGACATCTTCCACAATTACACCAGTCAGGCTTATTTGTTCCAAAATGCTCTGGATCTTGGGTGGGTGGCTCATTTGGTTGATCCTGTGCCTCTGGATCTTGTGTGGAGGTTCCCTCCCAAAACTCACTCTCATCACCAGCCTCATCCAGGTCATCCTCCATTAGTAACAAGGAGTGTATGTAGTCCATGCTACCAATTCCCCTGCGCAACTCGAATTGCAAGCTTTCTTACTAAACTCTCGTCCAATGTATCAATGAAGTCCTGCATCAAAATGACAAAATATAAAATTCACAAAGGGTAAAATGTTAAAGGATGATAAATTGCCACTGCTATGTGGCTATATAAATTCTACCTTAACATCCTTGTGCTCTTTTTCTCTCTGACTTTCCTCGGATTCCATGGGATTGTGGCTCAAACGAAAACCTTGCGCTCCGCCGCTTGATTTTGCACGTGTTCGTGCTGCTGGTCTGCTTCTGTCGTCTCGCTCTCTGTCGGGATTTTCTGCTATTTCCTAAAACAAAAAAAATAAATATTGTCAGTTTGAAAGGCTTTCTAGTCAAAAGAAGAATATTTTCTTGGGACTTACCCTATTCTTGCAAGGTTTTGCACGGGTACCGCATTTGCACTCGCTCGAACACAATGAGTTATTCCCTTTGCATGGACATCCTCTATTTCCCTTTCTCTTGGTGCTACACGAGCTTTTGCAATCACAACGGCTTGCCTATACCGTAAAGTTATAATAACACATTCAAAATTAAAAAACTTGCTTTCTTATATGCAAATATATGGAAATTTGACTTACCATATTGATTCTCCTGATATTGTTTTGCTTCACTCATCCGTATGGCGACATTTGTTCCGAATGATTTCCGACAATTTCCGATCATTTTTGTTATGCGCAGAAAAGATGCGCACGAGGTGACACAGCTCCTTTAAAGAAGTTTGTTATTCTTCAGCCTGGAGACTGGCCTGCTCAATTCTATTGCCGACAATTAGTATACGAGAATATGTTCCTGTATGTGAAAAAAGCTCAACCAATTCAAAATGAGAAGGAAGAGGCAAATAATGATGTGAGACAGTCTTGATGACTGTTTTTTCAGCCTTGCATGTATCCCGCAGTATGGAACGGTTATAAACCTATTGGACAATTATATGCCACTGGTGCTTACTATTTACTCTGTGACATTCAAGGCAAATAACTTCCAGGAGCATTTCAGTGCAATTATTCGAATTTGGGTAATGTTCACTTGTTTAAAGCGAAGACACTACAACAAAACACCTCTTGTATGGTTATCCACGATCGATCATCGGGGCAAATACTTTCCAATGCTATATGACATCATGAAAAATTGGCAAATTGTGTAAGATGAATACCCAGTAGAGAACACTCACAGCATTATCAGAGCACAAACACAAGATACAGACACAGCTGAGAGTCTATCAAATGACGTCAAAGCAGTTTTTTAATCCAAACAGGATCAACATAATTTCCGCAACCAATTTACTCCACCAAAAATGTACTCATTCTCAACAAAACAACTCAAGTTCTTAAAAATAAAGGTGGGAACCATTCTGGCAAAAATATTTCAAGCCATTGTGACAAATTAAGATAATTCCTTGATGTCAAATCCAAAAACAAACAGTTGTAAAGATGCCTCAACTGTTTGGAGATGTTTTGATGAGTGAATGTGTTTTGCCACTTGGCTTTCATGGCGATAGGCTGCCAGATGTGGAAAATAGATGTGATTTACCATCATGCAGTGCAACAAGTGTCTTTCAGGTACCAGTAACTGCCCACATTGCAAAGAGACATTGAACGATAAGCTTTATGAACTTGGAATAACAGCACAGGAGGCAATCACTACACACATACAGCCAGAACAGCCAACTGATGTGACATCTCAAGAGAAAACAAGTCAAGAGAAAGATTGGTTCAATGAAGTTCCATCCCTTTCATCGAACGAAGAAGAATTGATACAAGGGCCAATAAAACCCAACAACCCCTGGCAACCGACAGCTCCAAAAGAACCGACAGTTACAAGTGATCCAACATCCCCAGGCAACCCAACAACCTCCAGAGAACCGACAACCCCTAACAACCAGACAATCCCAAGAAAACCGAAAACCCCAAGCAATGCCACAGCCCCAAGTAACTCAACAAATCCAAGCAACCCCACAGCTCCAACTAACCCAAGCAACCACACAGCCACAAGCAGAACAACAACAGCAAGAAACTATATCCCAACCTTGAAGTGAGAGATGTCATGATGATCTCTGGAATAACAATGGTTGTAGAAGACATTGGATCCTTTTCCGAGGACAAAATAACGAAATATTTTGAAACACTTCAAGTAACAAGTAAGACAGTTGTTGGAGTGTTGATAATTCTACCAGACAAATCAGTTGCAATTTACATGAAGAATGAAAAGCTTGGGATGATGGACAGTCGTGCTCATGGCAGACATGGAGGGATCATTGCATGTTCCCCTGGCTAAGTGCAGGATTTTGTGCATTATCTGGCTAAAATGGCACATCAGTACTGGAATGCTGGTCTAGCTGGTGCAAGGTTAGAACCATTTAAGTAATCTGGATTTCAAAAATTGTTTTGTCAATATTCATAATGAAATCAATGTTAATATAATAATAATTCTATCTAGCTTTACATACTGTACATAATTTCATTCTTGGTGTTTTCTCAACAAAAATTAATGTTTGAATGAAGAATAAAAAAGGAATAAAACAAAAAAATTGTTACACCATCTGTGCAGAACAGTCAATGTTCCAAGCTGTCAAAAATTAACACCAAAAATATTCAAATTATACTGATAAAACTCTCCTGTTTGTGATCGGTCAGATCGGATACCTTGTGGGCGATTGCATTGAAAAGATCATATTATAGGACAATCATCCCTCGTGGGCGATCATACACAACCGACCTGCTTTTTTACAGACTTGAATCACTTGGGGCACTTCCACACATTCTGCTGATGGACATTTTAAAATAAGGTGAAAACAACAAATTAAAACGTTAAAAATTCAAAGAAAATAGAGCTTTTGAAATGCTTCGATTGAAACTTGAAAATTTTAGTCCAAGACTCAACGGTCAAATCAAACAATTTTGTCTCCAGTCATCAACCCCTATACGCGGTCACTCACACAATGCGTGGAGATGGAAGCCTTTAATATTAGTGGTCAACGACAAAGAATAACATTCTTCAGTTTTATTAGCGGTTTATTGCTTAAAATTACCACTTAAATCTTGTTATTCATTATTTTCTAAAGAAATCAGGATTTATCACATCTGCTCAATCTTATATTTCAATAACTTAAGCACTTGGAAAGAACAGAGGAAAAACGGTGAATTTTGTGCAGAATTTAATACCAACATTCATATGAGAAGATACCATCAGCTGAAAAAAGCAAAAGAGCATAAGTTAGACCAACAAAATGAGTTCTACAAATGCTCATTTACCACAGACATATTTTAGACCAAAATTTGAGTAAACACACTAGAATAAGCTAATTTATACACTGACAAGTGGAAAGCAACATTTAACTTTTCCTAATTTTTTTCGTGGTCCTAAAACTGTTTTTCTTTCACAGAGGCAGGTGAAAAGAAAAATTTAGTGACAAAGCAGGGGCATATTTAGGGGTTGTCAGATAAGTCATGCGACTAAGTCAAAAATTACACAAGTCCAGGTCGAAATATTTAAACTTCAGTCAGAGAAAATAGTCATGCGATAAATTAACAGTCCAGTTAAAAGTTATTAAGCTTCATGCAGTTGCTGGTCACTGACTTTTGAGCCCTCGGCAAATGAGTCATAATAGCGGATGCCCGCTTGAATTTTGCCTCATTGACTTCTGATTTTAGGCATTTGATTGGCTTAGGAGTTTGACTCATCTTTGCGGGGGTCTGACTCATCTGCGCAATTTAAACGTTTCCGATTGGCTGGTGAAGGGCTAATACTGGTTCCTCATATGCTTTCCTTATCTTTGCGGGGTCTGACTCATTCGCCAAAATTTAAGCTTTCCGATTGGCTGGTGAAAGAAAAATATTGATTTCTTATTGGTTTGCTTTATTTGACTTAAAGGAAAAAATATATCCTTTTCAAGTAAATAAGGAATATTGAAAAATTTCTGGATGTTTGACAGTGGATGTTTTTAAAAATCTGTTGGATTCTACTGCTCGATCTCGCCATTTATACGAATTCGTATTTTTATTTTACAAAATGGCATTTCATTGTAAAGATTTGAGGTTCCTGCAAGGTCCAATACAGATCTTTATTAGGAAGTTCACACTACAAATAGCGAGTATGTCGAATAGCTTTCAGTTGTCGAGTTATATGGATAATTCTGTTACCTCGTCGTCAAAATGAGAACTGAATCTACTAGACCTTATGTTGGGCCTGAAAATTGTTAAATTTCATTTCACCCCGCTGGGAACTGAAAAAAAACTATGACAAATTACCATTTCTTTATGTGCTGAGTCCATGAGTCCCACACCTACCGCCTGCAGTTTTTTTAAAAAATGTGTTTGAAGATCCATCGTAATTATCGCTACTCTGGTTTTAGTAAATGAAAGTAATCACCACACAAAGATTAACTTTCACGACCCAACGTTTCGACACTCTGGTCTAGTGTCTTCATCAGGGGTGATCTGATGTTGAAACTCGGTTCCTTATATACTCTCAAAATGACGTCATCTATTAATCAGATGTAAATATTCTTTTGGCAAATAGCTTCCGTCATCCCTATTAAGGGCACAAAGACTCGCATTAATATGCCAGGCTTCCAAACAACGCCTTTGTCCATAACGATCATTAGTGGTAATGACTTTTGAATCGTTCCACCCAATGTTATGGTTAGTTTGACACACATGTCCGCCAAGGCTGATTTTGAACTGTCTAAGTTCGATACGGCCTTTTGATGTTCTTTTAAACGTGTGCCGAACTGGCATTTTGTTTGACCTAGATATTCTTTCTCGCAATCACCACATGGTATAGAGTATACAGCATGAGTTTTCTGTTTAGTCGTTACGCAATCCTTGGGTTTCGCGAAAATATGTCCCAATGTCTGAAAGGGTTTTAAGGCAACTTTTATACCACAATTATTCAGGATCCTCCTGATTGGCTCTGCAATTCCCTGATTCTCTCATTTCAAACTCTTCTGTCAACATTTTCGCCATTTTGAATAATCTAAATCATATTAAAATTATTTTCCATCCCTCATAATACTGATTTACTCTACCCCAGTTTCCTCATTTTAGCTTGCGCTGCCTTTTGAGATATGTAAATGAGTTTCTCAAAGTTTCGCGCATTTTTTGTGTTTTGCTCGGGCGTTTTATCAAAAGAGATTTTTTTTCATAACAAAATGGCAGCTAATAATGATCGCATATGCGCAATTCATTTTGATGGCAAAAAGGGAGATTTGAAAAGATTTACGGCAGGGACTTTAGCCAAAGTAAAGGATCTACGAACACAGTGGCTACGCCTTCCTCAGCCATATAAAGATTTTACAGTAGCTGCAAAAGAGTCTTTTAATCTAATTGATGACAACTCAGACGAAGAGACCTTAGGCGAAGTTTGCGGCTACCACATCCAGTGCTATCGGAATTTTACTGACATAAGTAAACTTAAAAGAGCGAAAACAACTATAGCTAATTCCAGCATAAAGCGCCCAGTAGAAGTCGAACACGAAACAGATAAAGTGAGTCAAAAAAAGCCAGTCAAAGTTGCCCGTACGAAACGTCACTCGCTTGGCCGAGAAAGTTCGATCCACTTTAATCTAAAAAGCGTGTCATCCAATATATTACCAGACATTTGCTTAACTGTAAGCGTTCGGGACCCTTATATATCACTGATACGGTAAGCCGCAGATTTTAATTAATTTCTATCACTTACATTCTGTCACCTAAAGTTATTTCGTTTATTCTATTGCCATAATCATGGCAATTTTTTTCAGGTGACCAAAAAGCGTGTCAAGCAAGAGTTGTCGGTGGCCCAAACTATCGATGCTGGTGTTTTGAAACAAGCAGCAGTGCTTCGGAATGATGAAAGTATTCTTCTCCATATTGGCAGGCGGGATTGCGTTGCAATTGAAGCAAAGTATCATAGACAATGTTATCAAGCGTACACTAAATGTCTTTCCAAAACTAAAAAAGTTGTCGGACCAACACTGTATGACAGAGCTTTTGATGAGTTTTGCCAGGAAGTAATTGAGAAAAAATCATTCAGAACGGTGAGATTTTACTACTCAGCAATTTGTTGAAAGAGTTTATTGCTTTTGTGCATAATTTGGAAAATATTGACATTCCGTACCGTGCAGAAAAACTGAAAAGACGCATTCAGGATCGTCTCCCTCAACTCATTTTTCACTCATCAAAGACCATGAACAAAGGCACATTGGTCTATTCAGACACTTTAACTGTTGGTGATATTGCAGATAGCACTACAGACACGGGAAGTGGATTTGAATCAGAATCTGAATTGGAGAATGAAGAATTTGATTATGGTTATGAGCAGCACATTGGTAGCACTAAAGATGTCAAAGCTATTGACATTTATTTTGTAGCACTAGAAATTCGAAAGCTTTTGAGAGAAAGTGAAGGCATCAACGCAGAGTGGCCCCCTGATTCCCACGACTTAGCATTTGCACATGCAAAACAATCTATTCCCGTAATCTTATATAGGTTTCACATGTGATCCAGTTACTGACAAAAAGGTCGATCTTAGTTCCAAAGAAGATGCCAAAGTTGGGTCGATTGCACAAGATCTAATTTATGCAGAATCAAAGGGAAGAAAACAGACGCACAAATCACTGGCGCTTGGAATGGCTGTTCGACAAATCACAGGATCGACAAGATTACTCAAAATTCTTCATGGCCTTGGACACACAGCGTCGACTGACACAGTTTCAAAACATGACACTGCGTTGGCTATTATCAGCAGCGAAGGAAATAAGAATGAGATCAAGATTCCAAGAAATATTTTGCAAGGCTTGTTTACGACCATTGTCTGGGACAACAACGACTTTAACGAACAGACACTTTCTGGAAAAGGCACGACTCATGTCGCAAATGGTATCATTATACAAAGCGGACACCCAAAACTTGCCAAATTATCCGAGAAAGCAATAGTCAGTAAGAAGCAACGCACCATGAAGGCACCTGACACAAAGATATTGCCATTCACGAGTAGGACAATTGAGGAGGACATCCATCACTATGATCAAACGTTAGGAAGAAACGCTGATTTCGT